AATCAGGAGAACATGCTCAGCAAAGAGGTGGCACTATCTAAATTCCAAGAATTTTTCAGTATTTCCAAGAATTGGAATTCCGAGAATTTCAGACTTCAAATCGCGAAAATCGAGAATCCCGAAAACGGCAAAGCAACACACTGCGAAAGCAACACGCGGCAAAGCAACACGGTGTAGAAATAATAAACAAAAAGTAAAAATAAAGTTTGCTTACACGAAAAAGAAAGTTTATTATTGCTACACCACACATTATTTCATACTTATAGACTTTCAATATATAATACGCACGGAAAAAAATAATTTTGCTATTGCAGCAAAACTGTTGCTGTTACTTAAATATACTGCCATATTTGATAATAAGTGATGACGATACGAAAATTGCTTTATTATACCTTATTAAAATTATTCACCATTACAGCAGAACGTTTAATAAAACAGAAATTATTTTACTTCTTTAGCTAAATATTTCGCACAATTATTTGAAATAAGATTAGTGTATTTAACACATAGTTGTCCATAAAACAGAAAATAACTTTATCATAAAATAAAAGACAAAATTTACTTAAGCTTACATAAGATATACTGTGCTAGCAAATTATTTTTCTCCGCGTGATATCTCTAAGTGGAACAAGTTTTCAACTTGCCTGCAACATCCCTGAGATCTAAGCAGCTGCCCTCTTGTGCCGTTCGGTGAACTAAAATTGCATTCGGTAATCCATTTCTCACGGTAAAAGGCTGGGGCAGGCATTAAGATTCGCCCTGTATTTCCAAGAATTGGAATTCCAGGAATTTCAAACTTCAAATCGCGAAAATCGAGAATCTCGAAAATTGACAAAGTGTCAGGAGAACATGATCAGCAAAGAGGTGGCACTATCTAAATTCCAAGAATTTTTCAGTATTTCCAAGAATTGGAATTCCGAGAATTTCAAATTTAGACCGGCCGAGGGGAAGTTGCTCTCTCCAGTTATTCTTTCCTCCACGATCGGAAAAAGCGCCTAGTAATCTTGAGTCTCTCGGCAACGAATGACAGGACATTTTTTACCTAGAAAACGAATCTTTTCATTGGACGGCGAGGTCCAATGACTCTCTCCGTTGCTCTCGGCCGCGTGTGGGCTCGGATTGTCCCGCACGAGATTTGTTCTTTGTTGTTGAACCACTCGCACCTTTCGCCCCTCCTTCTCGCTCTTTCTCCCTCCCGCCGACGTCACCGATTGTAAACCCCTCTCGCTCTAAAGTGCGCGAGATGCAGCTCGTGACGCAGCTCTCCGCGAGGAGCGAGCCTACGCGTTGTACCGCTACGTATCGAATCTAGTCCGGGTAAAAGTAGGGATAGCTCTAGGCGTGTTATCTCGCGCGAATCAACCTATCCCACGTAGCGCAATCTGTGCTCCACGTATCTCGCGTGCTTGCCATGCACGCGTGCGTATCGCAGACATACGTGCGAGTGTCACGTTACCCGCCGCGGACGTAACGGGGAACGGCGGACTGCTCGTGGTTGCGAGGTATCGTCGCGTCCACGGGAGTAAAACAGTTTTTTTTCCTCCTCCGCACGTGCGTGTCACACGGAGGGGTTTCTTTTTCCACCGGTTATCGTCCTTCCTCGAGATACTTGAGTTTTTCCGAATGCGCGTAATCTCGCGCTACGTGCGAGATTGAGCTTCGTATCGGAATCGCATCGTCAGATGTTTACGCTTCGTCCAGCACGTAGGCGCGCCGATGTGACTCGAGGACAGCGGGCCGTCAGCCGTGTGACTCGCGCTGTCGCCTTGTTCACGGTGGGAGTGTAAATGCGACAAGCCGGTCGCGCAACAGCGCGACTTCTCCACGCCGAGATGAATCCCGCGATTGGCGGAAGGATGCTCTCTCGGCTGCTCCTGGCGGTCCTGCTTTTCCACCTGCAAGCGGGCGGAAATTACTTCGGGACGAACTCCAGGAAGGACGATCAATGTTTCTGCAAGGTATCGAACGCTCTTGGTTCCCCCCCCCCCCAAGAGCCGAATTTTCGTGAGGCCGCTTTCGCGTATTCTAGAGATTGTGTTGCCACTCTCCGTTTAGCTCCCCCCGATAAAGTAATTTATTTACAACGAAAAGAGCGTCTTGATGCAATTAAAGTTGTTGCACTGAAAATCCTGTATTTACTAGAGAATTGATCAAAATTACAGCTGAAGGGGTCCGTGGACGACTGCGCTTGCAACGTCGACACCGTGGACCATTTTAACAATATGAGAATATACCCGAGAATTCAGAGTCTTCTAGTCAGAGATTATTTTAGATTTTACAAAGTGAACTTGAAGCAAGATTGTCCGTTCTGGGCGGACGACAGCAAGTGCGCAATACGCTACTGCCACGTGCTACCCTGCCAAGATGTAAATATACCCTTGTGTTGAGCATCGCTTTTAACGCTGCCATTACTTTCTCTCTATCTTCCGCAACTTGTCGTAGGGTGACATCCCTGAAGGTTTAAAGGGAGACGTTGCGAGAGATAGCCATCTTGACGAAAGCCCGGTAGATAAATACAAAGCCAATGCACAAATTACAGACTGCAGGCATAGCGCAAAGGATCACAATATAGAACTTGGCTACTTGAACACGACAATTAGGTGATTAGCCGGGATATGTGTACATCAGGCCTGCGGCCAGATTGCACTTTTCAACCGATTTTGCCTGTATCTATCCCCGCTCCTCTCGTGTCGTAACGTGTGGGCTACTCGTGGAGACGTAAGACGCTCGATCTCAACGATATTGGTCGCAAATCGTACGGGGCTTCAACGCACATTGCTCTGCGAGTTCCGTTTATTGAGATAGTATTATGATGTTATTATTAAGTGGTAAACTTGGTTTCCGCGGCTCACATTTAGATGACGCTAATTGTAAGTGTAATTTACTTCGACATCTGAAACTGGCTGCATTTTAAAGGTCAGAGGGCAAATCCTTTGGTGTATTTTTTGCTCTTGATATTGAGATAAATGATGAGTTAAACAAAACACACCGCGGAAACTAAGTTTACCACCTAATATTAACATATACATGTGCTGTTCTACTATTACTTTTAACTTTATAATTTAAAAATCATATCTCTCAGTAGACTGAACTTGCGTCTTTGCGAGCAGCCTACATGCTATAACGCGAGAGGAGTGGAGATGGCTGTAGACAAAATCTCACTGATGCATATTAATGCCGAGTAAAAACTTGAAAGTGGAGAATAAATCTGATTGCAGCTCGGAAAACTACAAGGAATTTGAGCGGTGGCAGCAGCACGACGATGCCCAAGATAATTTCTGCGTAAAAGAATCTAGTCCTGGAGAATACGTGGACCTTCTGCTTAATCCTGAAAGATACACGGGGTACAAGGGATTCAGTGCACATAGAATATGGCGAAGTATTTATATGGAAAATTGTTTTAGGTACGCATCGAGCTACGGTGATATTAAACGTTTGCTTCTATTTATTTTGACCCGCCCATTTTATTCGAGTCTATACAGCAGATTATTTTCTTCATAGGCCTGAAAACTCGCCTCACATTTTTATACAATCTTCTAAGATGAATGGTAAGTCCTGCACTGCATCAACTCCATTCTTCTTCGACGTCATGTCTTATGGAATAAGTAAATATATATTTTTTCATACAAAAATGTCTGTATAGATTACTTGCTTAATTTTTGTTGTAGCTGAAGGACTTTTTGGTTTTAATCGGTCGCATTAATTACGGTTTTAATTTACTTTGAAAGAGAAAATCACACAATTGTACAGTCACCGTTAAAAATCGAGCATTGAACTGAATTCTTATTTTTCTTCTTAACGTGAAGTGTGTTGTTTCAGGAATGTGTTTAGAGAAACGAGTTTTTTACCGAGTTATATCCGGCTTACATACCAGTATCAACACACACTTGTGTTCAAAATATTTGCTGGTCCCACAAGACAGTTTACAAGTGGCGCCCGACAATCAATGGGGTCCCAACTTGGATGAGTTAGAAAGGAGATTTTCGCCTGAAACAACAGGCGGCGAAGGCCCAAGCTGGCTGAAGAATCTATATTTTACTTATTTACTTGAGTTGCGAGCTCTAGCCAAAGCTGCGCCTTATTTGGAAAGAGAAGAGTACTATACGGGAAACGAAGTGGAAGACAAAGACACAAGATTGGCTATGAACGACATACTGAATGTTGTTAGGTATGTATTCTACAATACTTCAGTGTCTTAACACATAAAATAATTATGAATTATTCACGCAATTTGATATTCCAGGTCGTTTCCGGTACATTTTAACGAAACAGTTATGTTCACCGGTGGAGCAGAGGCACAATTGCTGAAGGAGGAATTTAGACAACATTTTATAAATATTTCGCGTATCATGGATTGCGTGGGATGCGACAAGTGTAAGCTATGGGGCAAATTGCAGATCCACGGTCTGGGGACCGCATTAAAAATATTATTCTCAGGAAAATTTGATAAGTGGGAGTCGACGCTTAACAACCTCAATCGAAAGTTATTCGTCTTGGAGAGGAGTGAAATCGTTGCTTTGGTTAATGCTTTCGGAAGGTACTTGATATTTCTAATTTGTATATAACAGAAAGTGAGAGGTCTTTAATTTATTTACAACGTAATGAATTCTTGCAGGCTGTCCGAAAGTATCTTCGAATTGGACGGATTTCGCAGAATGATGAGATAACATACCACCGATTTGTAATTAGAGATACTCCAGTACCCATTACGAAACATCACATAAACGCATCACGTTGCTCAGATTTTTATTTTTCGCTTTTCCGTTCTTTGTAGGGCGATTTTGTTGCACCTGACCTAATCGATTGAATTGCGCATTTGCGTTAATATATAAGTTTTTTTGATATTGCATTTTAAATTAAACTACAATTGCATATTTATATTGTAGTTAAATAATAGGGATAGATCTGATCGTGGCTTTATATGAAATTTTATACGAGTGTCTTTTCTGAGCGAGAATATGTTGTTCTGTTGGAGCAGTGCTATTATTGGCATATTAAATCTTGGAATTACGTAAACGCCAGTTCAATTGTCAGTTTAGTTAGGCAATTAAGTTTGGAGTCTAGTTATCCATTATCTCTTCCGATACTGTAGGAACGTTGTATATACATGCACTCACATAAATGCGTAATGTATAATTATGTAATAATATGTAAGGACCGATTGCACCAGTGTTTACTCATACAAATCAGTAACTGACAATGAGTTTTTCCTTCCTATATTGTACTATAAGACTATTATATAAAAAAAAACTGAGAATTATTAATCAAGCTTAGAGGGAAAGAGTTATTGCAGGTGGTTATCTTACGAAGGGTGTAACTAGAGATATGTTTATCTTGTAAGACTGGCGTCCGAATTGATATTTTCTTCCTATTTGTATTATAGCTTTCGACTCTGTCTGTGATAAATATTTTATCTAGGGCAACTTTACCTAACTTAAATTTGTGTGCGTTATGCTTTGAAGTTGGGGTTTCGTTTGGATGTATAGTACATATTTTTATAATCGTTGTAAAACCTTACTCATGGGAGTGATTCATGATTTTTAAGGGCATGGACTGTTGTAGAATTATCGTGTACACAAATATACATATAAATACTTGAAGCGATATAAAAATACTACAATTCTCGATATTCATACACGTATACATGTGTCGAAATTTGTATTATATTTATATATGACTAGTGCAATAATCTTGTACTTGCGAAGTTTTGCATGCGCGTGTAAGTTTTATTCATATTAGAACGGAGCTTGCGATATGCTATCGATATTTTATAAGAACGATATAACACGTAGTCTATAAATGAGGAAGGGGAAAAATAAATTTGGATATAACATTCCAAACGTATTCCGATGTCTCTCTGGTAGTTTTTCGATCGAGCTGCGCGCTCTTTGGAAATTCGGATAAGTCTGAAGTGAGGTACGAATATTTCAATGGTACAATTCTCGACGTCGAGACGTACGATTTGCGGAGAAATAAAATTTCCAAACAGCACAAACTCGAGCCAAATTCAATTTGCCGTTTCTTGTTGCAATACGTTCCTTTAACAATTTCGATTTCTCCGCGGTATCGATCGGCGCGAAAAATAAATTCTCACGCGGTCGCTTTAAACAGTCGCTAGAATTGAGATAACACGAGGTTCCTTAATATTTGGAATATACGAGAAATAATATAAATTTGAAAAATCTAAAGAATACCATAGTACGTTACAAATATATCTTGCAAACTTAATAATATTTCTACAAGGTCGCTGAAACGTTGTCGGCGAAATATTACAATTGAATGTCTCCGAAACGTCTCTGCAATGTTACGTTGCAATTTGCAATGTCGCGGTGTTTCTGAAATGTTTCCGAAAGCTTTGGTGCTGCATGGGTTTCTACTATTTTGAAGATAGGTCCGATACATCCTTAAGGTAGTTCTTTCGTAAAATCAGTTATGTGAGAATTGTTCCAAATTTTTACAGTTTATTCTTTACATAAATACGTGCAAAATAAGACTAATTAAATTACAATTGA